TATCCCAATTCTCCAACCCTTCAGGTCTTGGTGGTGGGGGAGGCCTGGGTGGTCTGGGAACATTTGAGGGGCCCTCTAAAGGGCTTCCTAAATTATAGTCACCATCTCCCCTCTCTGGCTCTGGGGGTTCTGGTGAAGGGTCAGCACTGAAAGGAGGAGAAGTGTTTGGGGGATCCTAGGGGATCTCTTTTTTTTTTTCAACTGGTGTTTAGCCTTCCCCATGCTCCTCTTTAACCAGGGCCTTACTTTTCGTCCCACAAGCCACTTGCTGGTTCGCCACCCATTCTTACCCCCACGTTTACCATGACTCCCCGCTCTTATGATACAGGCCACGACTGCTGTCTGAATTACACAGACTACCTCCTCTCTGAGTAAAATTTACTCTTTTGCTCTGGTAGTAATCATGATCTTTCAAAGTGCTCTGCACACTCTTTCTTACTGAGATGTATACGCCTGCCAGCACCACCCCAAATCCCCCTCTTTTTTCACAATAATCATGATCTTTCAAAAAAGGAGAGAGAGACTCTCTTCTTTCTCTAAATTGTGCGAGCAATCAGTCCTGGGTTTCTTATTCATGGGGCCCAGATCACCTGTTTTGGGGGTGTGAATCGTCTTTTTACATATGATTTTCTCAGAGGTAGGTGGCATGTTTTCCTCTGAGGACTCGTACCCTTCTGTTCTGTCCCGGTGGTCTTCTGATCCTTGGGTATTATGATCTGCAGGCTGAGCATTTCTGGGGATTTTTGCTTGTGCTTTTAGAGGTCTCTGCCCCAGCCCCCACTCTTCTTCGGGAGTGGTGCATGTGATCACTTAGGAAATATAAAATTTACATCCCAGCATTGAGAATTCACTTTCCTTACACACTACAAATTTAAAATTTGCTTAACCCCTACACACAGCTTCTCCTCCCACAAGAAACACATAAAAGTTTCAGAAGCTGATTTCAGAAAAATTACCTTTTACTACTGGATAAAAACATGACTGTATGTGTTTGCTCTGCTCTTCTATTTTAGAAGAAGAGGTTCTGTTTGAAAACAAACTATTACAAACAATTGTTATAACTTAGTGTGATTATAGTAACACAGCCACAAATAACCCACCATTTTAAAATAATTTTTACCTTGCTGTGGTAAAATTGCACGGGGCTTCCCCACTTGATAAGCTCTCTGTAATATAAATGAAATGATACAATAATTAGTAAAAATTAAATAATAAAGGAAAATACTGTATGTATAAAGTAAAATATAACTGTTTTAAAATAGTCACCACTAAAAGACAACTCCACCCCTTTAGTCTTAAAACGTGGAGATCTGGACACACCGGTCAGCTTTTTTTTTCTGCTATGGTTTATCTTTATGATACACACCTGCCACCCCTATACCATACACAATCTGTGAGAATATATATTTTTAAATTCGGTCTTTATTTCCATCAAAAACTTTTATATTTACTGATTTATTTTGTTAAACCTTCTTCTAAGAAGTGTTTTTTATCATTTCCCATGACCATTATGCCTTGTCGGCCTTATCTTTACAGCAGGCCTTTTGGTAAAAGATAACTCCTTTAGTCTTAAAACAGGAAGAGCTCTGAACACAATGGTCATCTTTTTTTTTTTTTTGTGGTCTGGTTTATCTTTATAACACACACCCCCACCACCCCCATACCATACACAAGCTGTGAGAATATATATTTTTTAATTCAGTCTTTATTTCCATCAAAAATTTTCTCCTAAGAAGGGTTTTTTATCATTTCTAGTGACCATTAAGTCTCATTGGTTTTATCTTTACAAAAAACCCTATATGTATGTGATTAGAGATCCAAGACACTAAAGCAAATGCTAATCTACATTAGATGTAGAAAACTGTTGATCTGCTTTATGATCCCACATCCCTAGCCTCCCACCAAAATCAGCAAAAGATATAAGCCCCTCCTCCCCCCCCATTTTAAACTGTTTTTGCTAAGCCCCTCTCTTAAGCAAGGTTTTATAATCTCTAGTACCAATTAAGCATTCAATATGAGGTATGAGTGTTTTATCTTCCTCAGTGATCAAATCTTGAAGGGCAGCATTAGGATCTTCTGCAGAATACACAGTGTTTAGAAGCTCTCTAACCTGAATTAAATGTTTCTCAGTAATTCTGAGAATGTTCCTGGCAGGCAAACCCAATGGCTGTAACAGCATTGAAAATGCTATCAAGACATATTTCCTGGCAAAGTTCCTGAATTATTTGATTTATGTCTTCATCTAACCAAGTAATACATTCATGGGCTTCTTGACCCTCTAGGTCAAATGTGCACCCCCAGCATAGGTCAAAAAGTCTCTTCCTCAAGCAGTATTTCATTATGCCATAAAAGGAAACACGAACAAGAGACTTCATGAAGACTTTACGTTCATGAGCTGTAACTGGATCTGTTGATTCAATGCCTAGCTGTCTTCTGAACTCTTCAGCATCATCAGGTCTTTGTTCTCTGCAGAAGCATACACTTCCTTCTAGTGTACTGGTGAGTAGGTTTTCTGGAGTCATTAAAAAAGCTTCATCTAACTGCAAAGGAGTTCAAATAAAGGACTTTGTTAGTTAGCTGCTGTTTAATCAGTCCTTAGCTACTTCCAAACATGCACATGCCATAAAGTGAACCCAAACCAATACCCTCAAAACCCAAGTGCCCCCACAACCATGCTCCAAGTCTCTTACCGGACTCTCCTCTGCGATGACCTCTACGTCACATGCAGGTTCTGGCACAAAGATACTATCTTCTAAATTCTCAACGTCTGCTTCAAGGGCCTGGGCCTTCTCCATTTGCCTGTTCATTGGGTCTTCCCGAACAGGGTCAGGTGTCTCAAAGAGCCTTTGGACAAGAAGCTGGGTCTCCTCCTCAAAACTATTTCTATGGTAACGCTTTCTATAAGGCTGTCTTGCAGTTGTAGTGAGTGGGCCTACAGGCATTGTGAAAGAATCCATATCCACTCCTGCTTGCCTTAGCACAGTCTCAGATAAACAGAGGGGTCGTTTGGGAAAGCAGATAGACCTGGTGGGGTTTGCCGCCTAAATCCCACCCCCTCTACTCATTCCAATTGGTTCAGCGTTGTTCTTGGGAGGTCTGAGGCCTCTGAACCCCCCGCCAATTGGTTGGGGGTGGTGGGGTGGGTTGTTAGAGGGGTCACACCACCACCCTGCCACCCCATAGGCCATGCCTGTGCTCCGGCAGGGGCTGGAGCAGTCTGGGACCTGATGGACCATAACTGCACCATGTGATCTAGGGTAGTTCTTGCAGCATGAGCAGTTGGGCTTTGGGGGTCTGCATGGGCTGTCCTTCGGATGTCATGGACCATGTGGTGTTGGTGTCACACACCATGTGACTGGGGGAGTGGGGGTGGAGTTGCTGATGTCACACACCACGTGACTGGGGGTGGGGGCGGAGTTACTGATGTCACACACCACGTGACTGGGGGGTTGGGGGCAGAGTTGCTGATGTCACACATCACATGACTGGGGGTTGGGGGTGGAGTTGCTGATGTCACACACCATGTGACTGGGGTCGGGGTGGGGCTGGTGATGTCACGTGCCATACATGGGGAAAAGGGGCAGGGCTAAGGGGGCGGGACTTCCAGTCCCGCTCACCTGTCACATTTACATTGAAGGGCGGTGAGCCTATATACTAGTGTCCAATTTCAATGCCCTATACCACAGGAGCCCTTCCCACCCATTCCTTCCCCCACCTAACCCCAGTAGCTGGGAGTAGCAGTTATAGCAGGGGATGGGGGGTGGGGGCAATTATTTAAGCTAGAGGGCCATTTAATGAGTTTTGGTGAGTTGTTGAGGGCCGCAAGGGTAACCCCACCTTGACAGGTGCCTCACCCCCTTCTTGCCATCTTGGGACCAGAAGTCCCATCCCTAAACCCTGACCTTTGCCACCAGAAGTCCCTCTCCTTGCGCAGAAGTATTCCTTTTGGGAGGTAGAGGGGTTGTTATCTTGGAACCAGAAAAAAAAAATCATATAATAAAAAAAAATCAAAGAGTTACTATGACGTTTTAATTTTTTTTCCCAAAAAAATGTCCTGATTTACATGCGTTTGCAAAGTATATATAGAGGCGATTGCATAATACCTGAAAATAAAATCTTATGTTTGTATATTTTGTGGGGGTGGTGTTGGGGAGGGTGTGGGTGTGTGAGGTTTGTGGGGGGAGCTGTGTGGAGGGATGTGGGGGGGTGTGGGGTTTGTGGGGAGCTGTGAAGGGGCATAGCTGGGGTGTGGGGGATGTGGGTGTGGTTATGGTGGGGTGGGGGTGTGCCCCCCCAATGGTGCACAGCCCCTGCTGCAAGCAGCAGCAGCAGGAGGCAGGCTCTTGGGGCACTCATGGCCCACGCTGGTGGAGCTCCCCAGTGGCATATGGCTTTGGCTAGTTCCAGGACCTGCATGTGGCAGCAGGACCAGGTCAACCCAGTTCTATCGTGCAGGGCTCCAGGCAGTTCACATGCAGCTTCTGGGACCTGGCCAGAGCCATGCGCCACAGGGCAGAGCCCCATGTGATAGAGCTGGCAGCCTGGCCCCACTCCTTTTTGCCATGTGCAGCTGTCAGGACTCTGCTGGGAAGCAGGGAATGAGACCAAGCCAGCCAGGTTCCATCGCACAGGGCTCCCTGCCATTTCCAGCAGAGTCCTGGGAGCTGCATGTGGTGGCAGGAAGATGGGGAAGCTGTCAGCTCCACCACGCAGGGCTTCCCTCTGGTGGTATGGGTCCCAGGAGCTGTACGTGAACCACAGGGAGATCTGCATGATGGAATGGACTGACCCAGGCTCTGCGCTCCTGCTAAGTGCAGGCCCCATGCCTTGGGCTCCACACTTCCACTGGCCCTTTACTCCTGCCCAGCTGCGATTTCCCCACACCCGCCTTTGCTTCCCTACTTGTTGCCCAGAGCGCTGCAGCAGTGTCAGGTGAAGGACCCACAAGAGGTGGGGAGCCAAGCAGGGTTTGTTTGTTTTTTAATTTAAATTTTCTGTATACCAAGCCAAATTAGATTCCACATTCATGAGTCAGTCCAGAACCATAAGTGGCTCTACTACCAGCCAACATCCTCTACCCCACCTGGGGCTTCAGATATTCCCAAATCCTTTGGTGGTCATCCTATTTGCAGGCCCAAACCCGGAGGCTTGGGAATCAGATGCTCCTGAGTTTGCCCTTAGCCATTAGTCCTCAGGAGCAAGCTAGGGAGGAGTCTCCCATTTCCATAAAGTGGTCATAAAGTCAAGGTTAATTATGCGTTACCTATGCAGGTACTATCCCATGCCAGCAGAGTGGTCTTCCCCAGGTGCAACTAGAAAGCCACCATGGTGACCATGGTATTTCCCCCTGCCAGGCAAGCACAGGAGTACGCTTGATCTGAACCAACAAGAGGCTGAGACGTGATAGTTCCCCAGGCATCTGCAGCAGTAGTAGCAGCAGTCCCACCCAGAAGCTGTGCGTGCTGGCCACGGCCAGGGCCAGGGCCTTCCTGCATACAAGGGTGGGAGCGCAGCACACTGCAGGGCTCAGTGTGGGCCCACCCGCAGGCCAAATGAAATCACTTGGTAGGCCAGATCCAGCAAGCAGGCTGTATTTTGCCCGCCCCTGAGTTATAGGGCATGTCTTACTCAGCCCCTGCAACCAGGAAGCTTCCCAGAATTTCTCAGCCAATCTTTAGCAGGACTATTAAATGTGTGCAAACTAGGGCTTTTCAAAGTCTCATAAACTATTGAAACTTGGGTTAGTTGTTGTGAAAAATGGCACATCCCTGGCTCTAAGGCAATCCATAAAGCCCTTCTCCAAATTAGTAGCAATGCTCAATTAATCAGGTAGAAGGCTGGCTTTTAATGTTGGCCACAAACTTCATTCTGAGAAATGGCCAAAGCATTTTGCTGAAGAGAGAGAGAGTGTGTGTGCATGTGTGTGTGTGCGTGCATGCACGTGTGCACGCACACATAGCATGAGGCAAGTTTCCAACCAAACAGTGGAAGATTTTAAGGCCTGAAAGAGGGCCTTAAAATGGGAAGCATCAGACAACTAACTATGGATGGGGCTGCCAGCCTGTCTGCCTGCATGTTATTCTGTTACGTGTATAGGGAACCTGACAATTGCATGTGCTACATGATGTATTTAAATAGTTTCTAGTCCCAAAAATGCTATTCCTGTGCAATCCATTGGGAAGCAAATTTGTCATGGGTTTTTGAGGGCTCAACTCTTATCCCTGTACCAATCATTAACAGCAATGTGAGCCATCTACACAGAAGAGAGATCTTTCCAGCACTAGAACTGATGAGCACTATAGGGAAAGGAATGCTGCTTAGCCAGTGGGAATTGTAGAGGGCAGCCAGGACAGAGGCATTGGAGTTGTTCCTTCACTAGTTGTACAATGAGATTTGGCCTTCAGCAACCAGTTTCTTGATGAGGCTGAGCTCAAAGTCAGCATCATGAACTCCAGTCCTGCGGAATGCCCCAGAGAAGCGGTTCTCCTCCCAGTAATGGTGCCATTTCCCGTTGCTGTCTGCACCAAATCCAAACACTGAGACCTGCACATACATGCACACAAATGTTGCTGGTTGATGCTTACTGCCCAGAAATCAAGCGACTTGCTCTGCTGACAGGAAAGTTGCAGGGTAGAAAATCCTGTTCTGCTCTGGCTAGATGGGCTCTTGAACTAGAGACATAAGATGGGAATGTTGGCTGCATGGTGCGGTGGGGCAAAACTGTTTGAGTATGTTAACCCTTTTGTGTATTAGCAAGTGGTTAAGTTGTGGTTTGAGGATAAATCTGAAGAAAAAACAGGGCAAGAGGGAAGGTAGAGGTATGACCTGACTAGCTATACACAGGAATCCTTATAAAATATTTTTCAGCTGGTAAAAGTGCATTAACATTGAAGAAAGCTTTGTCTTATCAATCTGCTGCCATGAGTGAAGAGACATAAGTAGAAACCTTCATGTGTGGTAGAGAACCCTCCACTTGTGGGGTAAATATGACACTTTTACATTAAATTAGCCCCAAGGCCTCCACTGACAAAAAACATTTAAATAAATAAAATTTACCCTACAATCACTATGTTGCATTCCAGCCTCTCCTGTGCAAGTTAATGGCCAATGATGTTTCTTCCTCCAATATTACAATAGCAGTGGGCATAACAGTGAAGTGGCAGCTCTCACTAGAATAGCAGAACCATCTTGAGTTGTGGGAAAAAAATGACACTGCTCTTCTCAATAGTTCTAATCCCCTAGGAATTAAATGTGTATTTTGCTCTGCATGGCAGAACACAGGTTGTGCCTGCCACTTTAAGAGGTTTCAGGCAGGCTCTGAGTAGCTGCTGGTCACATGACCAAAAGGGGTCCAGTGGATTGGAGGAGGGCTAGGCTAAGCCCAGGCCCTAAGAGCAGAGCTGGCAGTTACATCTAGGGAGCCAGAGGAGCGAAGTTGCTCAGCCTGCAGCTCCCAGAACACCTGGAGGTCGGGGTAGGAACTATGGGGATGGAGGAGGTTCCTGGTCCTGGGTAAGACCTGAAACTACACCCTCCTGGGGTTGGATGATGTGGTGGGGCTGCTTGTGGCAGGGCGGTCTCCACAAAATGCCACACCTGTGCTTCCCCAGTAAAAGGCAAGTATGGGGTGCTGTATAACCTTAGGCCCCACCATCTGGTGGGTAACCCCACAGAGGGGACAGATTAGGATCCAGGCATGTTGACAGACACCTGAGGCCCGAGAGGTTGAAGGTCCAGAAACCCCAGTAAGAGGGTAGAGTGAAAGCCGGGGGCTACGTAGAGTAGGGTGTGTGGGGGCCTGAAAGACTGCACATAGGCTGGCCAGAGTAGAGGCACCAGTGGGGGGTCATGTGGCCAAGGTATGTCTGAGGATGCCTGAAGCCAAGTTTGGGCCAGAGGCTGTGTGTGGCCTGGCTAAGGAGTCGGGGAAGTAACAGTAGATCTGGATGCCATCTGCGAGGCATGGGACATGGTGTAGGAGTGGTTTGGAGTCGTGTATTACACCCTTGGCATCAGGGCAATAAATGGGCAGCCTCCTGCCTATGAACAGCTATTTAATTCCAACAAAGGCATGGTAGGAGAGTCAGGTGGGCAGACTGCCCTAGACAGGTGGGCAAGCCAATGTTGTGACTGGCCTCCAGACAGCCCCCTGCCACACTGCCAGCTGTTGGGACCACAGGTGACAGCGTGGGGAGAGAGTACTATATGCACATTTGGGTCTGTGTGAGCTGCACTGATTCCCAGTCCCTGTCATGGACATTAAGCCTGGTGTCTGCTCCCTGGCCCTTCTTAGATCACAGGTTTGGCCTGTCTCTAGATGATCTGTCACAGACAGTCGGCTTTGTCACTGCTACCCCTCCCATCACACACACCTGATCACAAATGTGCAAGGCGAAGAGCAAAGCTGTCAAACCAGTGGATGGATACTTCCCATGGTGTTGTGTCCAATTGTCATGGATGTATTTGAGAAAAGCAGGGTTCAGTATTAGCACCTGGAAGGAGGGAAACAGAGAAGGGCCAATTTAGATTCTTCCATCCTATTACACAGCAAAATCTGGCCACAGCCATCACAAGCTCCTCCAGTGAGCTGGGAAATGGCAGGAGTGACATTGACACCCTCCACCCCCTGCTTACGGCCACAACTCATATGCTTTCCCACCTCAGAAGTGACAGTCAGTTGTCCTCAGTGGGTAATGGTGCACTTTCCCCCTTGAATGCTGCACGGTTGAGCATAAGCCTACTAAGAAAGGCTTATTACCCTGGAAAGGACAATGGGGGATCCTTGGAAAGTGGAGTCAGAGAGAGATGTGTTGCACTAGTCAGCTCTAAGTTTAAGGACTGCATCTCAGATTTCTCTGAAGGCAAGTGGTGCTCTGCCAGCTGAAGAAGAATGCTTTCCAGACAAAAAAAAACCATTCCTGACTGACTTTCAAGGTGCTGCACCAATCCCCTCTCCTGCCTCCATGAGAACCAGCATGGCCTGGGCACTTCCTGTTTGATTGGTTCTGGCCATACTCTGGTACCTGGACTGTTCCCAAGTACTGCCAAAGTAGCTGGACGTTCTGCCCAGGGCAGTGTGGAGAGCCAGAAACTGCTTCTGTAGAAGGTTGCAGACTGCTTAGAAATGGAGAAGTAGCAAGATTCACGCAAACTCTGACAGACTTGACCAGGTTGCTGGTTGACTCACTGAGCTTCTAGTGCTTCTGATGGACCCTTGGCCCACACTTGCTGTTAAACAACTTTAACAATCCTGCAGATACAGTTTGGAAGAAACTTTGCAAAGCTGCCATTAGCCAGGATCCAATTTATAGACATGGGGTGAGGTACTTCCAGGCAAAGGAGGCTTTAGCACTTTTCTATGGCCATTTTAGAGTATCCTTTAGGACTTTCTCAGAGAAAGTCTCCTCAGAGCTGGAGTTACTGTGTGAAAAATCTCCAAATTTTCAGCAAACAACTTAAAGGAGTGCTGAAGGTTTGCAAAAAAAAAGGAAAAATAAGGAAGGCAAAAAAGGCAACAAAAAAAGGCAAAAAAAGGGGGAAAAAAGGAAGCCTTTACCCCTGCCCCCTACTCAGACACAGGACCTGGAGTAGGACATAGAGACACTTGAGAGTCCAGAGGAGAGCCACGCACATGCTCAGACAGAACAGCCCTTATGAAGGCTATGAGCTATGGGACTCTTCAGCCTGGAGAAGCACAGGTTCAGGGGTGACTTGGTGGCAGGCTATAAGTACATAAAGGGGTGTGCATCAGGATCTGGGAGAACACCTGTTCACCAAAGCACTCCAGGGGATGACAAGGTCCAATGGTCACAAACTCCTGCAAGACCGTTTTAGGCTGGACATAAGGAAAAATTTCTTTACTGTTCAATCCCCCAAGGCCTGGAATAGACTCCCCCCAGTGGTGGTACAAGCACCTACTCTGGACTCATTCAAGAAACCTTTGGATACTTATCTTGCTGGGATCCTTTGACCCCAGCTGACACCCTGCCCGTTGGGCAGGGGGATAGACCTGATGATCTTACAAAGTCCCTTCAAGCCCTAATGTCTATGAAATCTATAAGGTAAACATGCTGACTGTGAATTGCTGGCTGGGCCCCTTACGCATCTTACCTTGCTTCTGTCAGCTTTAATAAACTGTTTGACTTTTGTGTATGTGCTGTAAAAGAAATGGAAATAGCATTCAGAGCAAAGTCCATCTTCAAATGATCATGAGTTCAGTAATGTCTCCCTGGTTTTCTCTTTTCTATGTCCCTGGCTTCTACAATGTCTCCTAGCTTCCTTGCTAGGATGAAGCACAACCAGACTGTCCCCCATCCCCAAGGGCCAAAGCTGCTTTGCCGCTGGTGCTCCAGGAATCTGCTTAGAGTGAGATATGGAACAGAAGTTAGGCTTACAGTTAGGCCCTCTGTAAAACTGTAGGCTAGCCCAGCAATCTATCTGTGCATCTTATCTGGTTGCAAGATCATTGACTAGATCCAGGAATATTAGAATTTATATTCACCACTTCCCCTTTCTCTGTGTAAATTGCCGTGCACCTTTTTAAATGGTTCTGGTTTTAAACAATTTTGTCCTTTACCACTTTCTTGGTCTTGGTCACGCAAGTTGAACAGAATGTCTGGACTGTGCCCCCTACAGACACTGCATCTATGACCCTGCTATAGGGAAGGGAGTGTTCCAGAGGCACTCCATGCTTTATCCTGGCATTGGGTATCCATTCTTCCAGTGGGATTCCAAAGTCCTTATCTCCTTGGAAAAGGCAGGAGCTAATCCAGATGGGGTGCAGTGATATGGCTATACTCCCCTTTTGGATTGGATCACACCCCGGAAGCTCTGGGGAGTTTTTCCCTCTTCTCCATCCTGCTCAGAGGCACATCCCCGCCTCTCCTCTTCCTCCCCTCCCCCATCTGCAGCTACTGTTTTATCTACTGTCCCAACACTGGGGAGGCTTCAAAGCCATTCCTGCATGCTACAGCTTGAGGACATCCCATATCCCAGCTCCAAGGATGAGTTATGCCCATAGGAACTGTTCTCTTTGCTTCTAGGAGGGCCACTGCCTGTAGCAATGTCCCACTCCCAAACCTGAGGGCTACCTCAAATTTTCCTATCTGGGAGGATCCCAGGTTCCTCAGAGAAAGAACAGCACCCCCTACAGGAAATACATGACCCCAAGTCTTGCTTCTGGGGAGCCAGGGAAGGATACCCAGTCATCTCCCCAAGGCACTCCCTGAATGACTCACCCCCTCCCCCTTGTATCAAGCTGTTTGCCCCTCACTAGGCCAAGCAGTTACATACAATGTGAGCTCCCCTGTGGAAAAGGCACTGGTCACCCATTTCAGGTCTTGCAGCTTGAAAGGAACCAGCACCAGGTGCACCCCATGCTGAAGGTTCATAGCACTCTCTGGATACATGAAGTGGTGTGTTGTTCTTGTACCAACGTCCTTCTCAAACCCCACAGTCTGTGCTCTGTTCATTCTGGAGTAAAACAGAGAAATCAGAGACCAAATTGCAATCACGTAATGCAGGCAACATACCATGGTCCTGGGTGCATCAGGCAGGGCTCATTCAGGTCAGCAGGCTCTGGGCACAGCCTAACAACAAGGGAGCAACTGGGGGGCCTGGAGATCAGGCTGAAGTGATTATCTTTATGGCTGGGGCTCACTGGGGTTGCTCCAATGCCAATTATTTTATGGCAGTGTCAATCCCCAGCATTGTGGCACACCCCCTTCAGCAAAATTAGATAGGCCAGGGTGAAGGGGATGGTGGGAACAGGTTGAGGGTACAAGAATAAATGGGTGAGTTGTTCACATACCCACTGTACATCCTGAAAGTTTCTCCCTGGTCCATTAAGTAACCAGGTGGCCCAGCAACAGTTTAAACTTCTCCTTTTAGCCCCCATCACCACTGGTTAAGAAAGGAGCCTGCTAGGAAACACCCCATGTACTAGGTCCTGAGTCCAAGCTTAACTGTGTCTCTGCTGGGGGATTTCATCCCTGGGCTTACTGGCAGAGATGCACATGGCTAAGTTAGGCCACATCAGGATACCATGCTCCTCAAGGTGTGTAAGGCCAGCCCAGCATTGGGGGCTGGCTCCTACTGAAGAGGTAAGTGAAGCAGGTGGATGATTCAGGTCCCAGATGCCTGCCTGAGTCAGCTCTGTTCCACTCACCTCAGAACCCAGTCGTGCGAATCAATCTCTGTACCATGGCTGGAGCCCTTCAGCTTCCCAGAATTTCCCACCACCGCACATGTCCTGCACCCGGCTGTGTCCCACACACCAGTGACTGGGGATGGGAGAATGTCAAACATGTGCCTGATTATTCCCTGGAGCTGGGTTCTGCTCTGGGAGCCCTGCAGCTTCTGTAGAATCAAGAGAAAAGACACTGTGTCTGGAGAGAGACATAAGAGCAAATCCATAGCACAGAGACAGGAGCTAGGGCAAGGGTAGAGAATATTTAGGCTGGAGTGCCACTTAAGGAGTTTTGGTGGGCTGGGAGGGGGGAGATGATGCTGACCAGGCCCAGAGCAGCAGAAGCTGGGGACCATGGTGGGGTGACCTGGAACAGCACTACAGGTGGGGGCAAATGGTCCTATCTGGCTCCAGGCCCATCCACCCTGGACCCACTGCCAGAGGTGTTGGATGGAGCCGGCAGGCAGGTGTGCAGGTGGGGTCTCCATGGAGACCGGCCTGGGACCCCCATGGGTAGTGTGCACTCAGCCAGACAGGTGGGATGGAGCAGCAGGCAGACAGGGAGCGGGGTCTGGGAGTGGGACAGACTGGCAGGGCTGAGGCTGGGGCTGGGATCACAAAGTGGTGACAGCACAGGGCCAGGGCCCAGGGCAGAGCCACAATCCACTCCCCGCACATCCCTACAATGGGCGCTGGTTCTATGGTCAGGGACATGCAGGGAGCAGATCATGGCTCTGCAGCACAGGGCCAGGGCCCAGGGCAGAGCCACAATCCACTCCCCGCACATCCCTACAATGGGCGCTGGTTCTATGGTCAGGGACATGCAGGGAGCAGATCATGGCTCTGCCCTGGGCCCTGGCACTGTCACTGTCCCATGATTCAAGCCGTGGCCCCGGCCCCAAGAAGTCGAGCCTGGCTGTGGGCCAGATGGAATCCCTTGCTGGGCTCGGCTGGACCCAACCCGCAGGCTGTATTTTGCCCATCCCTGGGCTAGGGGCAATGATCTCTGTTCAGAGGCAAGGTTTCAACACAGCTGCACTCAGAGGGGACACTGTAGTCCCTGATTTACTCTGCCACAGGGGGATGCAATATAAACTCCATTTTGCAGTGGTGCAGGCAAAGATCATCACCCCTTTTTGTTGACAAAAAAATCAGGATCTTTTTTCACTAGGTCAGGGGCCCCTGTTCTATGCAGGCTCCCACATACCCCCTGCTAGCTGCTCATAGTGGAGAGATGGAGCCAGCAGAACTTGAGGAGAAAGCCAAACTAGAGGTACTGGCAGGCATGTTGGCAACATCCCTGTTCTTCCCTGTTTCTTCCTCTGTTTCCCAGAGCAATCCCTCCCAAATGAAAAGAGGATCCCTGAATGCCTGTGCAAGCAGAACATTGGATATCTTCATGATCTCTGTTGGCTCCCTAGCTGTTGCCCTTGATCTCAAGGGATCAATAGAAGGGGCAGTCCTTAGAGCTCCCACGTGTACTCTGGAGCCCTGACCAGTCCTCCTCCACTGCTTGACCTTCATCCTGCCCCTTGGGGGAGCCTGACAGACTCTGCCCAGGCAGCAATGGTATGATGGGCCTGAATGAACTGATGTAATTCTGTTACTCACCAGCCACCACTGCAGAACATCTGGGGAGATCTCTTGGGTTTGCACAGTCAGCACAGGATTGATAGCTGCATCATAGTGTTCATTAAACCAGGCCGAACTGTTGAGATCTGCAACACAGCTGGCACAGCTACAAAGCTTGGCCTTGAAGAGGGAGACAGGCCCCGATGACTCCACAAAAGTACACAACGAGGCAAAGTGTCCTGTACACCTGCCCTGGAAAGTCTTCCATAGGAGAAACACCAGGCATAGAGCTGCTGTTGCCCACAGCTTCTTCCTGAGCAACATTCTTCATGCCATCAGTCCTTGCAATAGGACTCTCACAGGAGGAGCACTACACATGAAGGAAAAGCACCACATACAATACCAACGTGTTTGTGAGAGGATTTCCTATGATTAGTGGGATTTTTCCTCCAGTAGCTATAGACACAGAGTGGGAGGAAGGGGTCAGCCCATCAGCCCTCAAACACAGGTTTTCATCAGGGATCCCACGTCATCAGCAGCCTTACATCGGTACCAACCAGCAAGCTGCAGGGATGGGCCACTTCTCCCTGGCTTTGTCTTTACAGAATGGTGACACCCAGCATGTGCAGAGTGCCCAGTTCATGTAACAGCACTCGAGGAAATGTTACTGGAGGAAGCACTTCTCAGGAGAATCTGGCATCACATTGGGACATACCTAAATCACAAGACAAAGGGTTTTTTGCAGCCCACTCGGTGCGGATTTTGCAGGCATTTCACGACAGCCCTGCCTTTGGCACTGATTGGTAGAGAGGCCCTGTGAGGCGGCCTGCCCCTTGGTGCTGATTGGTGGAGAGGCTGGGGGGGGGAAGGAAATGGATGAGGGGGTGGCCACCATGTTGATTGCTGGCTGCCCTTTGTGCCATCCTGCCTTTCAGCCACGTTGGGGGGGCCAAGGGAGGCGCCGCCTGGCTTCTACAATGTCTCCTAGCTTCCTTGCTAGGATGAAGCACAACCAGACTGTCCCCCATCCCCAAGGGCCAAAGCTGCTTTGCCGCTGGTGCTCCAGGAATCTGCTTAGAGTGAGATATGGAACAGAAGTTAGGCTTACAGTTAGGCCCTCTGTAAAACTGTAGGCTAGCCCAGCAATCTATCTGTGCATCTTATCTGGTTGCAAGATCATTGACTAGATCCAGGAATATTAGAATTTATATTCACCACTTCCCCTTTCTCTGTGTAAATTGCCGTGCACCTTTTTAAATGGTTCTGGTTTTAAACAATTTTGTCCTTTACCACTTTCTTGGTCTTGGTCACGCAAGTTGAACAGAATGTCTGGACTGTGCCCCCTACAGACACTGCATCTATGACCCTGCTATAGGGAAGGGAGTGTTCCAGAGGCACTCCATGCTTTATCCTGGCATTGGGTATCCATTCTTCCAGTGGGATTCCAAAGTCCTTATCTCCTTGGAAAAGGCAGGAGCTAATCCAGATGGGGTGCAGTGATATGGCTATACTCCCCTTTTGGATTGGATCACACCCCGGAAGCTCTGGGGAGTTTTTCCCTCTTCTCCATCCTGCTCAGAGGCACATCCCCGCCTCTCCTCTTCCTCCCCTCCCCCATCTGCAGCTACTGTTTTATCTACTGTCCCAACACTGGGGAGGCTTCAAAGCCATTCCTGCATGCTACAGCTTGAGGACATCCCATATCCCAGCTCCAAGGATGAGTTATGCCCATAGGAACTGTTCTCTTTGCTTCTAGGAGGGCCACTGCCTGTAGCAATGTCCCACTCCCAAACCTGAGGGCTACCTCAAATTTTCCTATCTGGGAGGATCCCAGGTTCCTCAGAGAAAGAACAGCACCCCCTACAGGAAATACATGACCCCAAGTCTTGCTTCTGGGGAGCCAGGGAAGGATACCCAGTCATCTCCCCAAGGCACTCCCTGAATGACTCACCCCCTCCCCCTTGTATCAAGCTGTTTGCCCCTCACTAGGCCAAGCAGTTACATACAATGTGAGCTCCCCTGTGGAAAAGGCACTGGTCACCCATTTCAGGTCTTGCAGCTTGAAAGGAACCAGCACCAGGTGCACCCCATGCTGAAGGTTCATAGCACTCTCTGGATACATGAAGTGGTGTGTTGTTCTTGTACCAACGTCCTTCTCAAACCCCACAGTCTGTGCTCTGTTCATTCTGGAGTAAAACAGAGAAATCAGAGACCAAATTGCAATCACGTAATGCAGGCAACATACCATGGTCCTGGGTGCATCAGGCAGGGCTCATTCAGGTCAGCAGGCTCTGGGCACAGCCTAACAACAAGGGAGCAACTGGGGGGCCTGGAGATCAGGCTGAAGTGATTATCTTTATGGCTGGGGCTCACTGGGGTTGCTCCAATGCCAATTATTTTATGGCAGTGTCAATCCCCAGCATTGTGGCACACCCCCTTCAGCAAAATTAGATAGGCCAGGGTGAAGGGGATGGTGGGAACAGGTTGAGGGTACAAGAATAAATGGGTGAGTTGTTCACATACCCACTGTACATCCTGAAAGTTTCTCCCTGGTCCATTAAGTAACCAGGTGGCCCAGCAACAGTTTAAACTTCTCCTTTTAGCCCCCATCACCACTGGTTAAGAAAGGAGCCTGCTAGGAAACACCCCATGTACTAGGTCCTGAGTCCAAGCTTAACTGTGTCTCTGCTGGGGGATTTCATCCCTGGGCTTACTGGCAGAGATGCACATGGCTAAGTTAGGCCACATCAGGATACCATGCTCCTCAAGGTGTGTAAGGCCAGCCCAGCATTGGGGGCTGGCTCCTACTGAAGAGGTAAGTGAAGCAGGTGGATGATTCAGGTCCCAGATGCCTGCCTGAGTCAGCTCTGTTCCACTCACCTCAGAACCCAGTCGTGCGAATCAATCTCTGTACCATGGCTGGAGCCCTTCAGCTTCCCAGAATTTCCCACCACCGCACATGTCCTGCACCCGGCTGTGTCCCACACACCAGTGACTGGGGATGGGAGAATGTCAAACATGTGCCTGATTATTCCCTGGAGCTGGGTTCTGCTCTGGGAGCCCTGCAGCTTCTGTAGAATCAAGAGAAAAGACACTGTGTCTGGAGAGAGACATAAGAGCAAATCCATAGCACAGAGACAGGAGCTAGGGCAAGGGTAGAGAATATTTAGGCTGGAGTGCCACTTAAGGAGTTTTGGTGGGCTGGGAGGGGGGAGATGATGCTGACCAGGCCCAGAGCAGCAGAAGCTGGGGACCATGGTGGGGAGACCTGGAACAGCACTACAGGTGGGGGCAAATGGTCCTATCTGGCTCCAGGCCCATCCACCCTGGACCCACTGCCAGAGGTGTTGGATGGAGCCGGCAGGCAGGTGTGCAGGTGGGGTCTCCATGGAGACCGGCCCGGGGACCCCATG